CGTTGGCCAGACACCATCAGCAACAACGTACTGTGGGAGAAAACAAACCAGATTCCAGTGGAGGAGAAAATCAGGAAGAAGTGGTGGAAGTGGATAGGACACACACTACGAAAAGCACCTAACTACGTCACGAGACAAGCCCTCACATGGAACCCTCAAGGCAAAAGGAAAAGAGGAAGGCCAAGGAACACAGTACGCAGAGAAATAGAGAAAGATATGAGAGGAATGAACAAACACTGGACAGAACTGGAGAGGGAAGCCCAGGACAGAGTTGGTTGGCGAAAACTGGTGGGCGGCCTTTGCTCCATTGGGGGTAAAAGGCGTAAGTAAGTAAGTAATATATATATATATATATATATATATATATATATATATGTATATATATATATATATATATATATATATATATATATATATATATATATTATCACCAAAGTACGTTCAAGTCTCTTACCTTAGATGTTAAACATTAAAAATGTCTTTCAATTAATGTTCAAATGATCAAAGAAAGTTATTAGTTCAGGTATTATTATTTCTTTATTTTAAATCATTTTATTTCATAGAAATTTATTTCTCCTCGGTTTAGCTTTGACAAACAACAAACAGTTTTAACAACTTTAAAATTCGAATATAGAATGTTTTATTTTTGATAGAGTTTGATTACCCTTCGAATCTTAAGTATTTATCGTGATTTTTTTGTTGTCATAAAAATAAAATACAATGAATGAATGACAAGAAATGTTAGTAATAAGTGGATCAGCGAAAACTCACTTTTATTATAAAAGATATAAAAATGGATTATTTTTCACTTGAATAATTTTGCAAACACCTGAGATCTACATAACTTTCCAATCTGTATAAGATTTTACCGGCATAAAATCACTACAATTACAATTTACTATCCGATAAAAATGTACTACTTTTTTCAAAAACGATTTTAAATGAAGTCTTCAAAATTATGATTTGAAATTCAGAAAATAACTGCTGTTTATCGGTTACTTATCGCGTTATTTCAAAAAGTAAGTCAAGATAAGGTATTTGCAACGGAATAAAATGATGAGAAGTGATCTGATATATCATAATGGAATGGATATAAATATCAAGACACTCCAGTTGATTACTGAATCTCTTCTGAATAGCATTGACAGCTTGAAAGGAGTAACGATATATAACAGTTTCAATCAATTTATCGTTCACCCACAGTTTAGTCATAAACTGAATAATTAAGACTCTTAGAAAGCTAGATATATTTGAAAAGCAGACGGTTGTATGTTTGCGTAATTTTGTATATGCTAACGACATGTAATATATGTAGAGTTACTTTATAACTTATATCGTTTACCATTCCATATCGATAGTGGGCAATGTCAAGTTTGTGTAGTCCTTGGAAGAGATCATTTTTTGCAGTAAGTTAAAGTATGGTCGCAAGTCTAAAGGGACCTTGCATCATATGTGTTAGATTTAGATGTGATCTGCTTGGATGTTGTGAGCAAGAAACTTACAACTTGATCCATAGAATCTGATCAATGCACATAACGCAACATTTACTCAACATAAAATCAACGTTGATTCATTGTATTTTCTTTGAAAGTATTATGAGTTTCATAAAAAGTTGCAATAATATACTTGATAAATTATATACAAAATAAATGGGACAGTTCCTTAAAAAACACAAACGATTACGCATTTTTAGGACTGAAAATTTTAAGATTTATAATTCAAACTAATTTGTTGTGTAATGTAAATGTTCTATAATAATTAACTTCCTAGTTGTATTTACCTCAAAATATATTATTAAAAATAGAAATTGTTCATTTAAAAACATTATTCGCCGTGTCCTCATGTGATCTGATTATTTAAACAAAGTAAACTACATTTTTTTCGAAAAAATTTTAAAACACATAAGGACACAACAAATGCTTTAGAGAAAAAAAATAGAGATCAATCATTATCTCATCTCGCGTTTTGCGATAAAAATGTTCATTTTCAGAACTTTTTTGATAAAACTGAAAGTTAGAGCATTGAATGGCAACTCAGTGGTCTAGAGATTAGGCATTCGTGTTCAAGATAGAAAGCCCTATGTTCGCTTCTCGGTGAGGTCGCATATGTACCGTGGTGAAAAAATCTAATATTAGGACCAAATTTTTATTGTTACTTTATTTACTTTTTCTCACTAACAGTAATAATAATAATTTGCTTTAAACCCATGAACCAGTCAATGTAATGAGTAAATTTTCGTTCACATCTATAGTAGTTTTGCCAGATTAACGACGTCCACCGATTTTATAAAGTGTACGTTCTTAGAGTAGTTGAACAAGTAGTGCACGAAAATGGTATAGTTTATAGTTAAACAGATGCAACCAACGTAGAATAATGCATAAACTACGCAACAGCTCAAGTTATCATTTGAAAGTAGCATGACTTTTTGATAATTATTTGCTTATTTATATCACACAAATGTTGGTATAAATGGCACCAAACTGATTAAAAACTGTTTTACCGGGAGTAATTAATGACAGAAGAGACAGCTCTGATAAAATATTCCAAAAAGAAAGAAAGAAAGTTACCCTTACTGTATGCAAAATGATTAAAAATCTACAGCAAAACAATTAGTGGTTTCTATTCCAAGCTATATGTGTAATGTCACTGAGTTGAACTCTTATTCGGACTCCATTCAGGGAGTCATGAAGGCGAGACGGATACTGGTCCTATATAGCTTTTCATATACTGACACCCTGTCACAAACTGGCAACCTCTTCTTTTTATCAATCGATTCAAGGTTTGGCAGTCAAAGCACATTTTTAAGCCACGAAAGCTATGTTTTCAAGATAATGATACAAGCGGAATCATTTTCACAGTGTCGAAAGTTCGCCTTCTTTGCATAAAGTAGCAATTAAATATCACCGATCGTTTGACGACAACGATGACCAAAAACAGAGAGTACTCTAACAATATCAGCTCAGAAGGTCTTGGTTTTGCAAGTATAAAGCGAAAATGCTAGCGTTGTAAATCCGGCATTTTGTAGCCAGATAACAGCACTAAAGATCGTTCAGGATGATGTTCTTACAGTACACCTGTCTTCTTACTATCATCTTGTAGTTTTACCTATTATGCTTAGATACGTCCCCTTCATTATATTTACTGACTCATAAATTGCCTTGACCAGGTTAACATTTTCATATAATTATTTATGTATATTAGAGTAGAGCATGATGACGATCTAATTGAAAACATTATTGTTGGTGTATATGAGTGTTTCTTACAACACGTTATATTTTTCATTGTGCAAGGATTGGTTTCGGCACTCACATCAACATCAGCATTCAAACAGTTACTCATATACACGAACTTTTCGTCTTCCTCTAACTTCTCACCAACGAGTATCACTATAGACTCAAACTCAAATCAAAAATGTTGGACAGCGGCTGAGAGTGGAATGCATGATGCGAGTCTCATCCCATCCAGGATTCTTCAGATGCATGCACCTATACCCAAGCTGATGTTCACACCTGGACTTGAATCTAGTACCTTACGCTTCAAACTCCGAACTCGTTATTCACTTGGCTGCCTATTCCAGATATCTACTGACATATGCAAATGGAAGTATTTTAATTCATTTGTATTGTCTATTTAAATATTCCTGTTGATATTATGAACTGCTATTGTCACATCCTGGTATCAATGATAACAGTGAGGTGCGGACAAGTCTCAAATAGGACGCGATTCGTATACTGTATTCCATTACTAGTCACTGTCTGACTTTCTTTAAAGTGAGAATAATCTTGCGGCTTGACTACTCTGTGTTTAAAAAAAGTTACTAACTTTTCTGGAAGTTGGATTAAGAAAACTCTGCTGCTTGTGTTTGGGCACAAAGACAACGCTAAACTACTGATACTACTTTAAAGTAAAAAACATATGTCAAATACTTTAGGTTTAAGTACATTACTTTACCATCTAGTTTTTCTAATACAAAGGGTTATTATTAATTTCAACATGATATATCAAAAGATGAAATTGAAAATAGTTTATTTTCAATTTTTTGGTCAGTGAGGCGGAAACCATAAACCGAAACTTTTTAACAGGTTGACTGACACGAGTCAAACTTTCTGGTACATTGAGAATATTTATATACCTTTAATAATATCTTGGAATTGTGTTGTTTCGTTTGGTATTAGTAACTTTATTTAGTAACTTCATCGACAAATAAACTTACAAACAAGGTTGATTATCTTGCCATATATGACGGACAGATCACAAACAACCGGAGTATTGTTACAGTTCAGAATAGGCATTGAGTCAAAAAAAGTAACTTCAAACAATTTTATGGCAATGGTTGGTAATGGTTGCCTAAATTAAACCAGTTCATAGGTTCAATAAAGTTTAGCATCCTTCGCAATCCTGTGCTGATAAAATCAGGCATAATCTAGAAAATAAACTTTTTCAAATCTAAAAAACATAACACTGAACAAAGTGACCGTAGACGATATTTTAAACAAGTAGAAATTACACAAATAAGGACTAGGTCGAGATTGACGACAATCAAATTAAATATGGCCGGATATCTGTCGACAACCACCAATCACATTTGATGTTTGCTAGACAAGCTATCAACAACACGCCTAGAAATTTCGACAACTCACTTCTATCTGACGTTTGTGCTAGTTGTGTTGCTAATGAAGATAATGAGAACTTTCGATATTTATGTTAACTTAAATTTTTTATTCTTTTTGGAAGTGAAACTTATCTTATGAAAACCACAGTATACTGAATATTCGAAAGCTAATTCCCATAAATAACTTATATTAAAAAAACAGAGAATTATTAAAATCTAGGTGATGATTGATAGGGTGTACACGCCTAGTTTGACCATAAACAACAGAACGCTGATGTCACCACACAAGTTTCAAATCCAATCATTGTGATATATTTTTATCGGAGATGAAATATAAATGGATTCATTTTTTAAAATTTGAAATATAGAACAAAAATGATATATCTACCTGTACAAAGGACATTTTCCATTTGAACTGAAGGAGCTGGCGCCAAAGGCTGCCTCGATGTTTGTCCCAGTAAAGATTCTAAACATTGATAATTTGCATAATCGTCTCCAGAAACAGATAAATCATGAAATTTATTCAGCTGTGTGATTAACTGTTGAGTTGCGCGTTGTACCTTATCATTTTGTTCAGAAAGTGGAACACTGTCAGACATTGTAGTCATTGATTGTTGAGGTAATAACAGAGTCTGAGATATATTTGGTTCATTTATATTCACATCAGGGGCACAAAATCTACGTAATGTTTGCATTGGTGTAACTAATGATGCTGGGTTCATAATTCGCATTACGGACGACTCATCACCAGATGAATAAGATGAACGCATTTGTGCTGGATGTCTCTGAGTAGTATTACTACTACTACTACTACCAAACAGAAAAGGTACTTGCCTTTGGATATTTAATGGAATATTACTTGAAGATTTAGCAGAACATTGTAATGCAGCCATTGCAGCAGCTGCAGCCGCTGCCGCAGCGGCTGCTGCAGTTGCTTGTTGTTGCTGTTGTTGTCTAATCTGTTGTTGTTGAACTTGATATTGTAAGTCTTTAGCGTTACTAATTGCTAGTTCGGAATCAGACCAACGATTAGATGTATTAAATATTTGTTGGCTCAATGTTGTATCTATGCCTATTGGTGAAAGATTAGAAGGATGTGAGGACTGGGGCTCCAGTCTAGACTTACTGGAGGAAGCAGCAGCTAATAACGCCGAAATCAACTGTTGATAATTTGCTTGTTGTGCGTATGATTGGTTTTGAAGTCGTGTTTGTTGTGGCTGATTTAATCCTTTTCCAGAATCGCATACTTGGTCACTGAGAATGCGATTTTGACTTGTTTGTTGTTGCCTCTGCAGAAAATAAGGTATATTTCTACTGTTGTTTTCAGTTACTTGATTTAAATTCTGACTTAAGCTCTCAGGATATGTATCATAAAGATGGGTTGGCTGCTGATACGGTTGTTGCTGGCGTTGTCGGTTAGATAAAAGTTGTCCAGCACGAATGTTACATGTTCCAGTGGTTGTAATACTATTCGTTGGCATGTATACATAATTACGTGCTGAAAGCAATTGAGATAACATTTTATTTTGATCACTTATATTCCCTGTTGAATCCTGAGCATATTCTGAACTTGGTCTACTTTGTCCAGGTAAATTCGATGTATTTGATCCTTCTTCCGGGACAAAGTGTACACGAGGATTTAAGGTTTTACCTTCATTCATATTATATCGATTTGTTTGCTTATCACATGTATAAAAGTCTTGAAATAATGATTTATTAGGATCTTCTGCCATATTTTTATTCGCCTGTTCAATGAAATTATTAACCTTGTTGGAATATGAAGAATATTTTGGCTTTATTAAACAATTTAATTTTTGGTACGATCCAGATAAATTTGATACAAGTGATAAAGTTGATTCAGAACTTGTTTCAAATGCAGAATCAAATGAATTGATATTGAATTTTTTAAATTGCTTTAATACTTGGTTTTTATTTAATTTGGGATTAGTAAATAAGTAACTTTGATCAGTAGAATCTAAGAAACAATCGTTGTCCAAATGAGGGTTTTTATAAAGTGCATTTCGAAGAAAGCTTACATGACTGTCTGGTTTGGAACATTCTGTATAAAAGCGATTATGATAAGGTTTATATATAAAATTGTCCACGGAGTGAATTAATTTTAAGCTATGAGTATTTTTATTCTCCTCTGATTGTTGCAACTCAGTATTAAGGTTACCAGAGGTTTGATCAGGTTTTGTAGTGTATAGTTCACTTGAAATTCCACTGTCTACAGATTCTTCAGCCATCTGATGCTCCGAATGGAGCTGATTGTATGTGAAAAACTTACTTCTGTTATGTTGTATTATTTGAGCTACAAAGAAAATAAAACTGTATTCAACAATGTTATTTGTATGATTATTTAATGGAATTCGGTCGATTATCTTGATATTGTTATCTCCAAAGTTCAGTACGTTAAGAAATGTGTATGTCAGATTTGCTAAATTCCAAAAATTATTTGAATTACTGTGGATACTATGCAATTCTTTATTTTCAAATTCACGGAGGAATTGATGACAGTAATAGTAATAATCGTAGGATATGTTTATACCCAATTCTAAGATATTCACAGTTTCAAGTTCAAAGTAACGAATAAAATGATTATAACAATAACAACAATCAAAATAAAAATGGCAGTAAACTGAGCAAATAGAAGCATATACAAACCACTGGGACCGATCACAACACTGAGTAAATACCAACTTAAACATTCTACTAAATAAATTAAGTCTTTCGTAAATGTAAATAACTTTACTGTTCTTTTTTCATATTTAATATATTTACCATTATCATCACAACGAAAGGTTATATTGTGGAAACCTGACCAACATTTAGCCATTAAATTTCAATTGATCTCAAAAAGAATTTTGATTTATCCGTCTCTTTGGTTATTTATGTTATTTGTTGTCATGGTTGTCTGTAAGTAATGCGAAATTCAAATCATTTTTCTTCTAGTATGATTTCTCTCTTTTACAGAAGTAATAATGTTCTCTTTTCTGAGTATTTTTTAAATAATTTATGGGATATGGGTAGAATATTTCAGTTTTATTTTGGATTGCACATTGTTTTGATTAAATAGCTATAAAAAAGTGAATAAAATATTAATACAGTAATTCCATTCATGAAGTTTCTGCCTATTCTTCTAAACAAACTATTCGAAAGGTAATTGCATTTATCATCAATGAAAATCCGATGGTTACGAAAATTAAAGATTGCGCTTTGGTTGATTGCTACTGTCTTCGTTTTTTTGCTTTATAAAACACTGTCATTCACAGACAGGTAATGCACGTGTTAGTAAATTGATCCATGTTTTTTCATTCTGTATTACTGTTCTTCCGGTTACACTGCTAAATAAAATAATTGAAATAATTTCCAGTATGTGATGTATTAATGGTAGTAGCACTAACATTTAGTGGACATTTTCTGAGACTATGGTTAATCGATTTATTTTTTAGTGGGGCTGACAGCCAATCAACTTGAAGGGTAGAAAAAGATAAACTGAGTAAGTGGGTGAGTAGGGATCTTTTAGGTCAACAGACGCATACAAACATGGAATATTGAACTGTGAGATTCAAGAGTATCTGCCTGTTTTAAATTTACTATTCTCACTTGTCATTCATTTTATAACATACAAACATACATACTATACACATATAGGTACATACATATGATGTACATGTAGGTTTGGAGTAAGAAAATTTTCCTCACGAAATTTGGCATTATGTCCAGACATACTACTTATTTCTGAGTAGATATGAGAATACAATGAGAGGCTACTTTCATTTATATATATAATATTTATGTAGGGAGTAAGCCCAATGAAAATACTGTAAGTTGTTGTTTGTGATAATAACTGATATGAACATGGAGAGAAACGCTATGAATAACTCGTCAGTTTTATACAACATTGAATTTTCTAAAACACAAACTAAAAAAGTTGAACCTAGACCAAAACTAGTTCCATTTGACGATTATACCCAACCGTTTGCTTGTACATGCATTTATATACATTAGGTTTGTGTACATGCATATATACTTTCCAGAGATTGACTGATTAACAATAACCTATTCGATAACCCAATACTCATGTTGTATCCACAATTTACACACGTGAAACAAGCTAACTGCACACTTATTTATCGATATTAAGTTATGCAATAAGCAAGTAAACATTTCTAGTAGTAAAATCGACGATACAAAAGAAATGAAATATGATGTGAAGAAGCTTTGTCCTAATATTTTCCCGAAAGGTTTACTTAAATTGCATATACACTACTGAGATTCTGAAGATAACCACAGAAAGTTGTATTTGAATATAATTGAAATGAAATTTTAAATTTCTACAGAATGTTATGGAATAAATAATGGTCATTTGTACAAAAAGCATATACAAGAAAATTACAGAATTAAGTTATAGGAAATTCGCGCCCATGTAGTACCGTTTGCTTGTTTAGTAACGAATAGACCAGGATAACTAGATCCTGACAAGACTAAAATACATATGTATATAGATGTATGAAAAGTTTCAAAACAATCGGTCAAATTTTTTAGTGATTAATAACAGTGGATTAGATTATGTAACTAATTATGGCAAATATGAAGTTTAAATTATTTAACGTATTTCTCCAGTTGATCTCAGCTTATGAAAAAAACTATCGTGCAGTTAAATATTTGAAATTAGTTTTTGTGGTTAATTTAAGACCGAAAGCAACTTAAATGCATGTTTTAACAAGTCAAAAGTGAGAAAGTGACCGAAGGTACTGGGTTTGATTCCCGCGTGTGTGGGTCGTGGATGCGAACTATTGATGAGTCCCGTACTAAGATGAAACCGCTGTCCAGTGTATCCAAGTTCTTAATACTGATCTAACATTGATCGATTCATGATTTCAATGAAACGTCCAATGCCGTTGAACAAGCACATTGTCAAGCGAAATGAGTACATCATTGTAAATCTAAATCTTATCAGAAATACAACACATCCTGAAATTACCGAGTAAAATTATAACTACAAAATATTAATCTATTTGAAATGTATTTACTTAAGATGACAATAACGTCAATCAAGAAATCAATACATTCAATTTCTCATTCTCTCTCTCTCTCTCTCTCTCTCTCTATATATATATATATATATATATATATATATATATATATATTCATACATACATATATAATCTGTTGGGCACATGGGCATAACTAACCACAAGCACTTATTCATGCATACACTAATAAACTAATGCACACAGATGAAGAACCTTTTATTTATTTCCAGTGTCGTCGTTTAATTTTTATGATTATCTATTAGATAAATAGTAATAATAATTTTTTGACTTTTTCTAAGAAAATCTACTCATACAACAAATAAATGTATGACTTCTTTTCGAAAAAGAATTGAACTAGATCATGTAGAATAATGAATGATCTAAATGACATTATACAATCATTTTCAGATTATTATTAGATGATGTAAAATGAAAAATATTGGTATAATGAAAATTTAATTTTTAATTTTTAACTTTTACAAATATGATTAAATATCTGACCAACCTACTTTTTAAGGTATAATAATTTAATGGGCTTATTACTACTGGCCTATCGATTTTTTATTTATTTACACTTAAAGCGATCCCTCAGCCAACGAATTATCTCACTGAGACTCTGAAACGACTAGATAGGCGGAGAAATACTTCCTTTCACTTAGTAAAAGTCAATACCAACTAGATGGTGATAGACAATTTAACAGTATTACAGTCAGTAAGTCACACAAGTTTTTTACAGAATGTCACCCTTGATGGTTGGCTAAAAGACAAAGAAAAGTAATAAGAAGTTCTGTCTTGTTGCATCAAGTCGATACAGATCACCACATAAACATAACTTCGGTACTTAAAGTTATTCATACAATCCCTGCGTATTCAACCTATGGTTCCAGAATCCCGCTTTTACATACATTAGAAGCCATAGGAATACACATCAATAAACCAAACCTTTGTATATAGAAAGATTTTGTACAGCCGCTCAATCTACCCTGACCTTCTATATGTATACTATTGGATGTTTCGAAACCCGTCTAGTGGAGGGTAGCTTGTCTTCAAATTATTAAATTGATATTCAGTGGATAGCTCAGATTCAATTTCAGTAGAGTACATGCGTTCAGTCCAGAATTAGTTGTGAAAATGGACCATTTCGAATTATATTAGTATTAATTAATAGACAATAACAACATAATTTTTAATATTATTTCACAAGAGCTGATTGATTAGATAATGTTCTGATATTCACAAATAAAATGTTCTTTCAAATTCATGACAATTTTTGTGCATAATCAACCTTATTGAAATATTTAATCTACTTAGAAAATACTTGCTTGAAACATATAAAAGAACTACATAACCAAATTACTGTGTAGACATCCGGTTTTTTCGTTTTCTAGTGTGTCGTTATTAAGAAAATTTCAGGATGACGTGACAGATTCAAATTCATTTAATTAGAAATTTTAGCGATAAGTCATTATTTTAACAATCAAAAAAAAAAAAATCATAAAACAGCTACATAATATTCAGAAATGAATTAAAGTCAATTAATTTCTGTTTATCTTCATATTTTGATATCAATATTTTTAAAACTACACACAGTTACTTCTCATGTTGGTGAAAAAAATTGTTGCTTTGCATTAAACTAATCTAAGATACTGTCAACTATTTCGATAAATCTAATAATTTTCCCAAGTTAAGAATATATTTTTCTATCTTTAATTATTATTTGATTGTTCATTCATTCTATCGAGTGATATGTTCAAGTGAACTAACATTTTAAAGTAACAAAAAGAATACTAATAAATTATATCTCTTTTCTTTCCGTCATCACACTGTAATCTTAATTAAAATAATTCATGTTTAGCATTCTTTTCTCATTTGGAAATATCCAGTCTGGACTTGTCTCAAATGGCTGTTTCAGGAATTGATTTCATCAAACAGGATACCTTTTTGTTTAAATGCACAATGTGCAAGAAAGGAATTAGTTAAGTTCCTTGACGATTGTTCTACCATAGATAATGACTAAAGTGTTAAATGATAAGCATTTAGGCCTATTATTAACACAGATTGAAGACTTATGTGTTTTAGAATTGTATAATCTTGTGTATATAATATTCACATGAATTTTATATGATTTTACAAGAATGAGAGAAATAAAAATAACCAATTAGTATCATAAAGTCATATTGATGCGCAGATGGAAACAGTATTTCTAC